TTCGATTTCCGCTCAGTCTAGGTTGTTTCTCGTTTCCGATCTCACATGATACTTCCACGGGTTGGTTTGTAATTATCAGTTGTGAAATTTGCCTAAGTAAAGTTCAGAGCCCTCAAGGGGAAGAATTCTTCAGTTGATCAACCGTTGATGAATGGTACTTTTTAGCAATGACTTCGTACCATTTACCACAAGGAGTTCTCGCAATGTCATACCCTCCCCCAAAGATATCTGCACCCCAAATATTCGTACGTTTCATTCCCATTGCTGCTATTTAGCTTGGTTATGATGCGTAAAGGATGCAGTGACACAAGTGAAACTTGCCACGTCCACGTTTCAGCTTCAAAGCTCGAATCGGGTTCGCGGCACAACAGAGGTTTTCGGCTTCAAGGGTTGAATAAGTGTTATCATACTCATGTGTATGTGTAAAGCTGGCAGAGGGGGGGGCTAAACAGTGCCTCACACGTCCTGAAAATGCGAATTGGGTGGCAGTGCGGAGGTCATGAAATGTCTGCGTTCCCCCCCAAACATATCTGCACCCCAAATATTCGTACGTTTCATTCCCATTGCTGCTATTTAGCTTGGTTATGATGCGTAAAGGATGCAGTGACACAAGTGAAACTTGCCACGTCCACGTTTCAGCTTCCAAAGCTCGAATCGGGTTCGCGGCACAACAGAGGTTTTCGGCTTCAAGGGTTGAATAAGTGTTATCATACTCATGTGTATGTGTAAAGCTGGCAGAGGGGGGGGGGGCTAGAACAGTGCCTCACACGTCCTGAAAATGAATTGGCGGGGCAGTGCGGGAGGTCAGAAATTCTGCGTCACTCATCCCGAAAAGGTGCTGATCAACGCCTAGCTAGACATACTGATTCTAGCTCACTGATCAGGAGAATTTGTAGGGAAGTCTTGACAGGCAGCCATATTTTAGCTCATACTGGCTAACGCAATCCTCCTTACGCGACGGCTAATTGCTGCAATCACCGATATAGAGCCGATCAGGCGTCTAGACGGCTATATAGCCGCAACATGCCGACAGATGTATTCATAATGACATCGAAGGATTTGAAATTCTTGGTGGTTCAGACGTCACTCCATTGAATTTGAGCCACTCTTATGGAAGCAACTCTGGGAGTTGTGTACTAGCTGCACGAGCTGCACCAGTTTCGCCCGATCGCTACCGAGTTCCTTTTGAGTGGCGCCCCTCATAAGATGTGATGTGATTTTCACCCGATCTCAGTCGCTGGGCCAACAACAACCACCATTGAAAAGGAAAATCTTTAATTAGGTTGGAAAATCGAATAGAAATATGGACGGGGTTGAGAGGGGCTAGGAAGTCTTGACTCAAGTCTTACCAGTTGACATTTCACTGCGCCAGTGATTGCAGCCCTCTATCAGACCATCACTGAAACTTTACTTGTTCACGGATAGGATGGGTCGAATACTTTCGCAGGGATTGGTTCAACAGTTTCGATCCTCCGACAGGAGATTCATGCTGAGGTGATGCAGTGAGGGCTGGCTTGCGGTTCAACGCGGAATTGCTACTCTAGCACTGTCAAGTGATACAGGGAAGGCCGGCTCGCTCGTCACCGTTTTGTCCGTTTCTCCTAAAAT